CTCCTGCGAAACGCGTCTTTGATTAAAGAATTTTCAACTTTGTCTCATCATTTGCACATAAGAAACAATGAAAAGAGTGCTGAACTGCTATGTAATATCAATCCTCCTATATGGCAGTGAATGCTGGACAATTTCCTCACAGATGAAGAGAAAACTTGAAGCAAGAGAAACAATGAAAAGAGTGCTGATCTGCTATGTAATATCAATCCTCCTATATGGCAGTGAATGCTGGACAATTTCCTCACAGATGAAGAGAGGACTTGAGGCAACAGAAACAATGAAAATAATGCTGAACTGCTATGTAATATCAATCCTCCTATATGGCAGTGAATACTGGACAATCTCCTCACAGGTGAAGTGAAGACTTGGGGCAACAGAAACAATGAAAAGAGTGCTGAACTGCTATGTAATATCAATCCTCTTATATGGCAGTGAATGCTGGACAATTTCCTCACAGATGAAGAGAAAACTTGAAGCAACAGAAACAATGGAAAGAGTGCTGAACTGCTATGTAATATCAATCCTCCTATATGGCAGTGAATACTGGACAATCTCCTCACAGGTGAAGTGAAGACTTGGGGCAACAGAAACAATGAAAAGAGTGCTGAACTGCTATGTAATATCAATCCTCCTATATGGCAGTGAATGCTGGACAATTTCCTCACAGATGAAGTGAAGACTTGGGGCAACAGAAACAATGAAAAGAGTGCTGAACTGCTATGTAATATCAATCCTCTTATATGGCAGTGAATGCTGGACAATTTCCTCACAGATGAAGAGAAAACTTGAAGCAACAGAAACAATGAAAAGAGTGCTGAACTGCTATGTAATATCAATCCTCCTATATGGCAGTGAATGCTGGACAATTTCCTCACAGATGAAGTGAAGACTTGGGGCAACAGAAACAATGAAAAGAGTGCTGAACTGCTATGTAATATCAATCCTCCTATATGGCAGTGAATGCTGGACAATTTCCTCACAGATGAAGTGAAGACTTAAGGCAACAGAAACAATGAAAAGAGTGCTGAACTGTTATGTAATATCAATCCTCCTATATGGCAGTGAATGCTGGACAATTTCCTCACAGATTAAGAGAGGACTTGAGGCAACAGAAACAATGAAAATAATGCTGAACTGCTATGTAATATCAATCCTCTTATATGGCAGTGAATGCTGGACAATTTCCTCACAGATGAAGAGAAGACTTGAGGCAACAGAAACAATGGAAAGAGTGCTGAACTGCTATGTAATATCAATCCTCCTATATGGCAGTGAATACTGGACAATCTTCTCACAGATGAAGAGAAAACTTGAGGCAAGAGAAACAATGAATAGATCTCTGAACTACCATGTAATAACAACGATTCCTATATGGAAGAGATTGCTGGACAGATGAAATAGAAACGTAAAGGAACAGAAATGTGATTCTACAGAAGGATGCTGAGGATACCATGCAAGGAGCGCATAAAAGCACCAATGAAATCTTAAAGAAAATAGGAACAAATTGACATAATCAGAATCAGAAAGAGAGAGCTGAAATTTCTTGGATGCATAGATGACTTGGAGAATTTGGTACACACAAGGCCAAACGGGCAATGGGAAGGCAGCGGGTAGTCTTTCAGACCTCTCTTTGTAAATGGATGGTTGAATGTGGGATGGGAGGCTGGTAAAAAGACAAACGTTACTAAAAGCTACAAAGTATAGGAAGTTGTAGAGGGCCGCTATCGACAACGTTTGTTTGTTTTGTTTTGTTTTGTTTTACGGCATATCAATCTCAATGGGATATTTAATGCCGACAACATTTTTAGGAAAAATTCGTATGAATAGAATATGTATTCTTTGGTTTAGATTGGTTTGATTTATTTTGTTTTACGGCATATCGACGTCAATGGATTATTTAATGCCGACAGCATTTTTAGGATAGATTCGTATGAATAGAATATGTATTCTTTGGTTTAGATTGGTTTGGTTTATTTTGTTTTACGACATATCAACCTCAATTGGTTATTTAATGCCGACAACATTTTTAGGATAGATTCGTATGAATAGAATATGTATTCTTTGGTTTAGATTGGTTTGGTTGATTTTGTTTTATGGCATATCAACCTCAATTGGTTATTTAATGCCGACAACATTTTTAGGATAGATTCGTATGAATACAATATGTATTCTTTGATTTACATTGGTTTGGTTTATTTCTGTGGTTTGTGTTACCTCATCCCATTTCATAGTTACGAACTATAAACCTAAATTGATTGGTTTGGTTTAATTTTGTTTTACGGTATATCAACCTCAATGGGTTATTTAATGCCGACAAAATTTTCATTGATGGTAATTTTTTTTTTTTTCAAAAATCTATTTTTGGGAATATTTTTTTTTCAAAATATATCTCTGGTAATTTTTTTTTTCAAAAATATATTGCCGGTAATAATGTATTGCTGGTAATAATTTTATTCTTCAAAAACTTATTGATGGAAATTACTTTTTTTATATAGTATTTCTGGTATCAAAACCTTTTTTTTTTTTACACTTTCATGGTGTTTTGACCCCAGTTTGGGTGTTAACTATTTAACCTATAGCTGGGACCCTAGCAGGTGCTACCACCCCAGGTCCTGGGAATACCAGCAATTGGGAAGTGTTTCTACGGACCTCAAAACGTCCTGATCATAGGCCTTGCTGTTGGACGTAGTTTATCGTCTTACCCAAGAAGCGGGTGTAGTTTATCGTCTTACCCAAGACGGATCGACAACGTCCTGAAGGGACAAGGCGCCTAAAAGAAAAAGAAATTTTTTATAAAAAGAGGAGGAAAAACGAAGAAAACTGTTAGGTAGAATATGTGATTTTTTTTTTAAGTTAATTTTTTTGTTGTTGTTGTTGTTTTCCTGGGTATGACGATAAACTACATCCATTAGATGTATTGTCGGTGATTTTGCTATAAAATGTATTGCTAGTAATTCTATCTTAAAAATGTATTTTTGGTAATTCTTTTATAAATATGCATTGGCAGTAATATATATATATATATATATATATATATATAGTCGAATCCACTACATTCACTTATACCACTGGGAAAGGTATGAATCATCTACTTCTTTCTCCCCAACTATTGGTAAATAGCAGAACAGACCGACTTCTATGGCAACTGATCTCCGGCCGAAAGAAATGGCAACTGACTGCGGGAAAAAATCTGCCACGTCAGTTATGAATCGAAAGATACATGATCGCCTAAGCGTGTATCCCGCATGGCACATGACTCTCTGAATGTTCGGGGGTTCACATAGCCAAGACTTACCGCCACCCTGGGTTAGTGCTTCTCGACTTGACGGTCGAACTTTCTGCCTCTGAACAGAAAGGAACCCGGACGAGGTTCCGCCGAAGGGCAGAATCTCGTTCGGGGAAAATGACCAACCCGATCTCGTTTATACGGGTTATACGGGCATTTTTTGGCTGAGCCTACGGGCTCGGGAAGCACACGATAAACTCGGCCTTGTGCCACATGCAACCCTCGTGGGGGGGTGGCTAGATACCGAATCAAGCCGAGCTTCTCGACTTGACGGTCGAACTCTCTGCTTCCGAGCAGAAAGGAACCCGGACGAGGTTCCGCCGAAGGGCAGAATCTCGTTCGGGGAGAAATGACCAACCCGATCTCGTTTATACGGGTTATACGGGCATTTTTTGGCCGAGCCTACGGGCTCGGGAAACCCACGCAAAATCTCGGCCTTGTGCCACATTCAAGGTAGTTCCACACTCCTCTTAAAATCCAATTTCTCTTGGTAGAATCCTTGGAAGAAGCTTTGAGTAGGCCTATCCCAAATTCCACCTTGCTAAAAAAAAAGATATCAAGATCAAGCTTAGATTGCTTGGGGTGAAATGATGAAAAAAAAATAGAAGCAACAGAGCGAATGATGTAAATAGTGTAAATAGTTACAATACCTCGTCTCATAAATATAGACAGATCCTGAAGAAGGACGGAACCGATAGCGGCCGAAACGTATGCTCTGGTCTTCTTCAGGATCTATCCATATTTCTGAGTTGAGGTACTGTAACTATTTACACTATTTACCTTCTTCGGTCTGTTGTCTCATCTTTATTGTTATATTCACGACATTTCGGCCGTTGGATGCTCTGCTCTTCTTCAGGACCTCTATATCTCTGAGCTGAGGTATTGAAACTACAGTTTTTACAGTGTTCGGACTGTTGTCTTCATCTTTATTGTCATATCCACGATGTTTCGGCTGTTGTACGCTCTGGCCTTCTTCAGCTGATATACATTGGAATTTTGAACGGAACCCTTTATTTCGTCCACTAGCGTAGATTAATATGAGCCCAGGAAAAAAATGGTTGCTGAGACATTAGTTTTATAAGTCCCAAAAATTCATACAAATGGCCCAGTGAATAAAAGCGTTGTTTGAAGTAATCCAGTAACTTGATCCAAAGATTTGTGAGTTCAATACCTGGACACAGCAGCGGTGACATAAAAACTTGGAGAGTTGAGTTACTAAAGGGAAATAACTGAAACTGAGTTATCCAGAAGAGGCATGGCAAGTGGAACTAGAACAATCTACCCCGGTGAATGAAATAAAAGTGTCAGTTCGAAATTCCAACGTATCTCACCTGAAGAAGGCTGAAGTGTACAACGACCGAAACGTCGTGAATATGACAATAAAGATGAGGACAATGCAAATAGTGTAAATACTTACAGACTTTGTTGTTAAAAATGCGTATATTTGTATTTGAGTAAAATCTAATAGGTGGCCGCCCCGGGAGCAAAGAAGTTTTATTTTATTTATTTATTTTTTTTTTTTTACACCCAGAGGGGACAAGTCTCGTGTTGACACTGCTGCATTTTCGAACAAAAAGATTAAAAAAAAAAAAAAGAAAAAGAGAGAAAGTGAAAAAGAGAAGACCGTTCTTTTATAATCATGAAACAGCGCGACCTAGCGGACGCCTTGACAGAACAGGTGGGGATAATAACCAGAGATCTTATTTCAAACTCCATGCTTCTTGAATTGAACCTCAGTTCTTTTGGGTAGATGTTCGAATAACTGGGTTAAGTCCTACGTTTGGCATCCTGCATTGGCGTATTTGATTAAAATAGAGCATACAGAATTGAACCGAAATACATTCAAAATAGAGGCAATCTAAAACATTGATCTAAGTGGAAAAAAATGTCGTGAAATAAAGCAGTCTATGACAACAACTTTTTTTTCGGTTTTGAAAAAAAGAAGAAAAAAAGACAAATTGAACAACAGAGTTTTTATTTCTACTTGTATTTAATTTATATATATTATTTTATTTTTTATTTGGTGTTTTTAGAAGCCAACTTTGTTTTTTTTTTTAGCATTTTTAAATTTAAAAAATAGCTTTAGCTGAAGTGAGGGATAGTAAAAGACGCTTAGACGCCAACAATATGGCTCCAGATACAAGTCGTTGTCAGTTAAAGCCAGTTTTAGGCCCCTTCTATCTTTCCTTCCGTTCTTTCCACCTCCATTTTTAAAAATACTTTCATTAAATGAATTGTTTCAAGTTTTTTAATCTTTCTTTTTTCATCATTTTGCATCCATAGCTCATCCCTTTATTTTCTTTCCTTGTCGTCTGCTCTTTTCAATTCCCCAGCCATTGTTGTTACACTCCCACATCTCGGTTTCTTTGCTTTATTTCCATTTTTTACTTCTTTCCATTTTTTTTTTTTATTACGTTTTATGCTACTTTGTCTATTTGTAAGGCATCGTTCAGTCTGGCACAAGGCCACAGGAGTTCTCGCTCGAAAAAGAAAACTATTAATAAACAATAAAAGAATACTTGAGAGCTATAACTCTACACAATTTTATATGTGCATGTTGAATATTATTATTTGCCTCCCTACAAAAACAAAATTGAAATTTGAAAGTAGGGGTTAATGTAAAATATGCACATATGTAGGTAGTCTCTGCAGCCTATGTTTCAGAGTAAATCCCTAGTAACCAGCCATAAAGATTATATATATGTATATGTATATGTGTGTGTGTGTTTGTGTAAATATATATATGTTTTTTTGTGTGTGTGTGTGTGTGTGTGTGTGTGTGTGTGTGTGTATGTGTGTGCAAATAGATATATGGGTGTTTGTATATGCGTGATTAAATATATATATATAAGTATCTGTGTGCGTGTGTATAATTATATGTGCGTATAATGTGTGTAAATATATGTATGTGTGTGTGCGCGTATATATATCTGTGTGTGTAAATATATATGTGTGTATATAAATATATGCATGTGTATATATATGTGTGTGTATATATATATATATACATATATATATAAATACATAAATACATATACATATACACTTAAATTATGATGATCTATCCTATACTTGGATATATATATATATATATATATATATATATATATATATATATATATATATATATATATATTAGTATATGATTGGTGTATTCGAAATAAATTCCAATAACCAAAAAATACTATTCTTAAAAGAGTGCTCAATACAGAGTACAGCAAATGTGTGTGTGTGCGCGTGTGTGTGTGTGTGTGTGTGCCACTATGACGCAAGAGGGCTACTGGAAGTGAAAGATAATTAAAATATTTAAACAGGGAACAAGGTTTCAAACCTCTACTCCTAAAGACCGAGTACGAGTGTGAATCAGGCACTCGGCGAACCTATCTACTCCTATTGAGAAGGGAAAATATTAATTAGTAAATAAAATTTCAGTGTAGACACACATACACACACAAATATATATATATATATATATATATATATATATATATATATATATATTACTATTCTTAAAAGAGTGCTCAATTCAGAGTAGAACAAGTATAATTTATTCGAAAAACTCTTTATTCTACATTCAACACCATCACTTGATAAGACACCAGAAGTGTTGAAACAAAATGCCTATTTTTGTAGTGATTTTATAACATATTTATGTTATAATTTTCGAATACATTTTATATATATATATATATATGTATGTATGATAAACTATAATGTTATGGTATGGTGTTAAAATACTCAATATCGGAGAGTGCATGTAAGTATAAAAGTGGGCATTGAAGTCAACGCCAGGAGGCGACCGCCTGTTTCATGCTAATCGCAATCGTCAGGCTATATATATATATATATATATATATATATATATATATATATATATATATATATATATATCGAATCGTGTTCTCTCAGTCACTGTGTGGTTATCTAAAATAAATACGCTTAAATTCACCTTCATTCCTGCCTTGCGCCAACGGCTTAGTGTTAGAATCCCCGACTGATGAGCTGTGATACAACGAAACAGTCTGTCTGTGGATGACTGTATATATATATATATATATATATATATATATATATATATATATATATATATATATAACCCAAATAAAGTTGGAACTCGGATCTTCAATTTCTAGCACTCGTCCGTCCGTGCTTACAGCACCTGGTATTCCTAAATTGTCACCCATCTAAGTACTGACCAGGTTTGACGTTGTTTAACTTATGTGGTAATGGTGTCTCATTCGTTAGTTCCATCAGTCCAGACCTTTGCAGCTAGCCTCCACCATACCACATACTCATGGCCGACTCATCCTTCATATTGCATTAGTAAGGAGGAAGTTCTGCTCGATCAGTTTCTTCCACCCAACCGTTGCATTGCAGTAGGGACTCACTAGAGCAGTGGTTCTCAACCGGGGTCTACATGGACCCTAGGGGTCCATGTAATATTTCCGGGGGTCCACAGGCAAAACTCAATTGTTGTGTTAATTAAAAATAGTAATAATAATTATTATTATAATTATAGTAGAATATTTTATTTGTATTAAATTAGTTTTCATTTAAAAATAAAGCTTAATCGTATACTATTTCTTTGATAATTAAAACCTTAAAATTTATATTAGTGAAGAATAGAAAATTGTTCTTATGTCCAAATAGCTATGAAGGGGTCCACCAAGATAAAAAGAAGGGGAAAGGGGTCCATGGGTAAAAAAAGGTTGAGATCCACTGCACTAGAGGATCACTTCGAGGATCACTTCAAAGTTAACTTCTTCAAGTCAAGGGTCAACCGTTATCTATTCGACATGTCCTCGCAATCTGCGCCTCTTGCTTCCCCCGTATTACAATCTCCTTTAATAATCCCCTACCTTGAGTTACTCTTGATTCTGAAATCGGGTGGACAGTATTAAAGAAAAGGCATTTTTTTTTTTTTTTTTTTTGTTGTTGTTGAAAATAATGAAAACGGTTTAATCTGTGGATTATTTAATATGACTTAACTTGGGGTGGGTTGGGTTGGCAATATTTATGAGAACAGACAACACCTATCCGACGAATGACGAAGAGCACATCTGCCGAAAAGTTGTGTTACAGGTCTTCCCCACCCCCCTTGGTATTACTTTTTCGCGTTTAAAGTTAAAGTTGGACTTTCATTCCAGTGATCAGCACAACCTTATAAAATTTATAATTTCCTGAAGCTTCACAAATTCAGTATCTGTCTATATTTCTGCGATGAGGTATTATGTAAATTATGTACATTATTCGGACCATTTTCCTCGTCTTTGTCGCCATATTTATCACAACGTTTCGGCCGTTGTACGCTCCGGATTTCTTCAGGTGGTTGAAATGTCGATCTGAACCCTTTATTTCGCTCACTGGGGTAGGACTGTTCTAGTTCCACTTGCCATGTTTAATGATTGTCAGTTATCAGTTATCTCCTGTTAATTGCCCTCTGAAAGTTCTCCACTGCATTTACCAGGTATTGAACTCACACTCTTTGGGTCCTGTCACTAGATCTAACAAACCCCTTTATCCACTGTGCCATGTGTTCTTGTATATGTATAAGATGCATGGCACAAGGACATTATTACTAAATTATTTTGTCATCAAATAAGAGCTTCATTTACTTTAAATGGAAATTATACTCAACAATTTCGCTATAATATGACGTAATATATTACAGAGTTCAGTAGTTTTAGGATGGTGCTCAATAAACAATGCAAATTTAAAACATTTATAATTTGTGTTCAGCAGAATTATAGTGTTATATACAATTGTTCTATTTTTGATTTTTTATTAATTATAATTGTTATGGTCCAGTTCCTTGAACCACGGTGATAGTCCAAGGTAGAACCAATAAAGAATAACTCGAACACAGGTATGGAATAACACAGATATATTACAAACAGGAGAGGTAGAAAATGTTAGTACGAACAATCAGGTTTAGTAGAGAGAACAATGTAGTCTCGACCAGTATCACTATTCCAATGTCTTGCAGTAATTGTGTTCAGCGACTCTGTTTCGAACTGCCTCTGACTCGACTCTTGACTCGACTTGAACTACTGACTGACGATATTCAGTCACCCCACCACGGGGGCATCATGTGGCACAAGGCCTTTTTAACGTGGGCGTGGGCTCGGCCAAAAATATGCCCTTTGAACCCGTATAAACGGGTTCAGGGTCGGTTTACCTCCCCGAAAGAGCCTCTGCCCTTCGGCGTAGCCTCCTTCGGGTTCCTCCCGCCCAAAGGCAGAGATTTCAACCGATCGGCCGGTCGACTGACTCAACTGACGATATCCAGTCAAGACCACGAGGGTGTCATGTGGCACAAGGCCTTTTTAACGTGGGCATTCTGAGCCCGTGGGCTCGGCAAAAGGAGACTCCGCCCCATTGAACCCGTATAAACGGGTTCAGGGCCCGGCCAAAAAAATAGCCCATTTGAACCCGTATAAACGGGTTTACCTCCCGAAGGAGCCCATTTGAACCCGTATAAACAGGTTCTCCGCCCTTCGGCGTAGCCTCCCAGGTTCCTCCCTTCAACTGACAATATTCAGTCACCCCCACGGTGTCAGCCTCCTTTTTCGGGCATTCCCGAGCCTCGCCCGATCAGCCAGTCGACTGACTCAACTGACTTCTTGCCTACTCCTGAGGCGCAGTATTTATTAAGTATGGAATAGTCTATTATTATTATTATGGGTAAGATCCCATAACAATAATCGAACAAATGATCTAATAAATCTTTCTTGTAATCTTTTACAATTTTTTTACAGTTTTTGCTTCCCGAATACAGCAAAAGATTTTCATATTTTGCTTGTGGTGATTCATAATTAGAATTCTGGTTTGAATATATTTTCCATTCAATGCATCGAATACAAATAAATATCAACTTTATTTGGATTTATTTTTAAAATAGTAACATTCCGAAGTCAGTTTGTAATCAAAAGCCTGCAGGAATTAGATATTTCTGTACATTTTTTTCAGACAATCTTTAAAACTAAATGCTCTAAAATCGATAAAAAGTTTGGAACTAATTTTTGGTGTCAGCACTTAACAAATCAAAGCCCAGCCACTCACTGCAATGTTGATTTTCCCAAAATAAGTGACAAATCAACATGCCCTATTGTGTAAAGCAACATGGCAAATAATAATAATATAATAATAATTATTAACCGGCTGAACATTGTTAGTAGAGACCGCAAACAAAAAAAAAGTGTCTCTTTATTGATATGGCAGTCCCTGCAGACTGCAATGTATATTTGAAGATCTCCAAGAAGCTATCAAAATGCAAGGACCTTGAATGGGAACATCAGCAGTTTCTGTTGTAGTCGGAGCCCAGGGATTTGTCGGAAAATATTCCATTAGACTAATTAAAGGGATTCCTGGAAGCCCATGCCTTAAAGAAACGAAAAATTGTTCTCACGAGTACAGCCCACACCTTACAAAAGGCTTTATTCATGTAAAAAAAAATTTTTTCCTTTTTTTTTTTTTTTTTTTTTTTTTTTCTTTTTTTTCTTTTTTTGTCAGTGGAAAATGTCATGATGCCATTTCTGACCTTAGGTCTCTGGGTGAACCCGGAAAAAAATGTGTACCAGAAATCATAATAATAATAATAATAATAATAATAAAAGAAATAAAAAAGCAATGTCAAAAAGAAGAAAAAGAAGCTTGTTAACCATTACACCAAGTCTTTGGCGCTTTTAGTCTTCTTGCGAGATGAAAAACGAAATAGTCCATTATTTATGGGATATTAACAGGAGACGTTAAGCATATCTATCTATCTATCTATCTATCTATCTTTCTTTTTTTTTTCTTTCTTTCTTTCTTTCTTTCTTTCTTTCTTTCTATCTATCTTGCTTTCTCTCGTTCTATCTTTCACTGAAAATATGCAGCGTTTCTGGTAAGTCTTTTGTCTTTCCATAGAATATTTATGATGTATCGACAGGGCGTAACGGTCGTGCGAAGTAACGAAGGGAGGGACAAGCACAATTATAATAATAAGCAAAAGAAGAAATTGGAAGAAAAATACTTCATTTAAAAAAAGAATTAAAGAAAATATGCCACCTCTTACCGTTGGCGGTCAGTCATGTTCACCGTAGCCTCACTGCGCAAGTATAAATTTCTCTGCTACACTTAATATCGATTGGGAGTACTCGGTGTACATAAATGTTTCAAGCTATACAACTAGCGTAACTGCTGCCCGTTCAGACATTGGAACTGGTGAACCGGGTTCAAATTCTGTTGCAGCATGTTACATTCACTTCGCATAAAACCTATAATGATATACAGTCAAATCGCATAGTAGAATGGCCTCTCAAGCCTTGCTAGGAAAAAAACAACTCTGAATTTCAAACTGTGGAGAAGGCAAAAAGTGAAATCTCTTCACAGGTTCAGAAGGCTTATAGTAATTAATACAAAATGAAAGTTAAATAGCAAGGTACACTGGGCTTTCTAGCCTTGTTTGGTAACCGGTCTAGATGAAGAACTACTCTGAATTTAAAACTGTGTAGAAGTCAACGAGAAACCACTCTACTGTTTTTTACGGTCAAGTCAATTCCCAGGGCGTCCTGGGTATGACGATAAACTACATCCGGCAGCAAGTGGTCTGATCAGGAGGTTTTCCAAAGTGTTTGTGTTTCCAGGTGCACCCTAATCGGGGTGGTAGCACCTGTTAGGGTCCCAGCTATGGGCAAACAGTTAAAAGCCAAACTGGGGTTAAAACGCTATGAAAGTATAAAAATAGATTTTTATAGTAAAATACCAGCAATACATTTTTTTAATAAAAAAATATTACCAGCAATACATTTATGAAATGAGAAAAACATATTACCAGCAATGCCTTTCGACAAAATCCCTCTTTACAAAAATACGTCAATGAAACCTGATCTACAAACCAATTTTTTTACAAAGAATACATATTCTATTCATAGGAACATCACCTAAAAATTTTGTCGGCATTAAATAACCCATTGAGATTTTGATATGCCGTAAAACAAAATAAACCAAACCTGATCTACAAACTGATTTCTTACAAAGAATACATATTCGATTCATACGAACCTATTCTAAAAATCTTGTCGGCATTAAATAACCCATTGAGGTGTTGTATCACCGTCTGCACATTATCTATCTATCTATCTATCTATCTATCTATCTATCTATCTATCTATCTATCTATCCGAGTCTCTTCATTATCTATCTATCTATCTATCTATCTATCTATCTATCTTAATCTGACCATAATCTTTCTATCTCGGTCTGCACATTATGTATCTATCCATCTCAGTCTGTACATTATCTATCACAGTCTTCACTATCTATCTATCTATCTATCTATCTATCTATCTATCTATCTATCTATCTAAGCATTTCACCTCTCTCTATACCGCTATCTCTGTCTGTTTTATTTCTATCTATCTATCTATCTTAATCTGACCATAATCTTTCTATCTCGGTATCATTATCTATCTATCCATCTCAGTCTATTTATCACAGTCTTCAATGCATCATTATCTATCCTCATCTATCTATCTCACATTTCACCTCTCTCTATACCGCTATCTCTGTCTGTTTCATTTCTATCATCTATCTATCTATCTATCTATCTATCTATCTATCTATCTATCTATCTATTTATCTCAATCTGCACATTATCTTCCGTCTGTCACATTATGTATCTATCTCATGCACTATCTATCTATCTATCTATCTATCTATCTATCTATCTATCTATCTCATTCTGAACATTATCTATCTATCTATCTATCTCTGAATATTATCTATCTATCTATGTATCTCAGTCTGCACATTCTCTATCTCAGTCTGCACATTATCTATCTATCTATCTATCTATCTATCTATCTATCTATCTATCTATCTCAATCTACACATTATCTACCTCGGTCCGCACATTATGTATCTATCTGTCTCAGTCTGCACTATCTATCTATCTATCTATCTATCTATCTATCTATCTATCTATCTATCTATCTGTCACAGTCTATCTATCTATCTATCTATCTATCTATCTATCTATCTATCTGAATCTATCTATCTATCTATCTATCTATCTATCTATCTATCTATCTATCTATCTATCTCATTCTGAACATTATCTATCTGTCTATCTATCTATCTATCTATCTATCTATCTCAATCTGCGATATTATCTATTTCAGTCTGCACAGTGTCTATCTATATCTATCCATCTCTCTGTCTTTCTATCTATGGTTTTATTTCCTCTTTCGCCCTGTTGGAAATCTGCCAGTTCCGAGCCCGAAAAGCCGATGAGGTCCGGAATATGGCCATGGAGGCGACTTTGCCATCATTGGAGAAGACGTTGTGTACTACATGTCAGCCAACAATGGACGGAAGAGAATCGGTTTCCAGCTTGCGTGGACGGCGCACGCGGTCCTCGGCCCCGCGGCACCACAGATAATACGGAAGGAGACGTGTTGTCTGCTCTCGTCAAAAGAAGTACGGGGGCCGACATGTTCTGTGTTGCGTGCAATAGAAATATTTTATAGATACTTACATCTACAGAAACAGCGAGAAAGATGGAGATATAGATACAGATATAGATTTATATTAGACATAATAAATATTTAATATTGTATTAACAAACACACACATATATAAACATCATATATATATATATATATATATATATATATACACAATAATTATATATATATATATATAGATACAGATATAGATATACAGATATATATACATATATAGATAGGTACAAGCCGAAAACCAGTAACAGTTTGAAAAATCCTGCGAATTTTAAAATTAAAATTCGTAGGTGAAAATGGTCATTTACTAAAGGTATCGTAATTCCAATTGTAAAGTAATTTTGCTCTGTTTATTTTGAATAAACACAGAGTGCTCTTTTGTGAGTCAGTTTTAATATATTTCAAATTCTATATTGTGTTAAGTGGCATTGCGTGGATTATACTAAATATATATATATATATATATATATATATATATATATATATATATATATATATATATATGTCCTGTCGGAGGACGAATATTTTCTGTGAAAATTTCTCGGACATTCAGGCCGGTAAATGTTGTTTAATACTGTTTATTATAAACAGAGCATTTACTTAAATATTTGTATCTATAGAAAAGAATGTATAAACATAAAAATGTCTTATATATATATGAAAACAAGCTTGATTAAAAAGTATGACTAAATATTTATTACATTTTTTTTTTCTAATTTTCGAATAAAGTATTCAGTATTGTGCTAGGAGTTGTGGATAAACTGCCCTAATTTCGCAATCATAATCAAGTGCCAATATGGCGTCAATATGGTAGTTGGAATTCCTTTGTTTACACCCTGGTATTCTTTGGGAAGCTGGACGTTTCAAATGATCTAGCGTGACGTCATGTGTAACGGCTATTGAAAACGAGGCTGTACAAAATGAATGCGATTTATTTATTTTATTTTAATTTTTACTAATATAATATAATATATAATAATATAATATATATATATAATAATAATATATATATATATATATATATATATATATATATATATAATACGTTAATTATATTATATGCATTTCTGGATGGCGCTTCCTGTGGTGAATGATAATGTGGGCTGTTTTATTTTGTATAACAATAGCTTGTAGGATTTTGACCCATTCCTTGCATTTGGTACTGTAGAGTATTTTGCAGTGGACTTGGCCACTGCGCCAAATAAGCAAAATGTTCTATATCACCCTCTCTCTTCTGGGGAGGTCCTTTTGGTTGCCGGTCTTGAGACGATCATAATAAATTCTTACTCTCTTTCTCCTGTCGGCCAGGTGATCGCTATTTGTTTTTTTTTTTTTTAGTTCGGAGTTAAAATAAGAACTTTAAACTTACTATTTTATTAAACACGTCGACATGTATATTTTTAACTAGCCAGAGGGGTCACTCTATCACCCCGACTAGGGAGCAAATTCCATACACGAAAATAATACGTCTACATTCTTCGACGTGTAAAAACTCACTTTCTATCTCTCCACGCTAGTTTAACCCAATCGTAAAAGACATCCTTATTTTGTCTACCATCTGACCTTAAATGTCAGCCTTAGAAGGTCTGAGGCAAAATTCACTACAACTAAAAAATAATAGTCTGAAACTATTATTTAACAGTATTATCCACTATCATTTGTCTTTTGCTTAGAGTTGCATTTTGGCCGTTTGAGATGTGCTGACCGATGTGATCACAGATTCTTTTGAAGAAGTGTTGGTTGAAAAAGGATCCTTTCATGGAACCCCCCGCTTTTTTTTACTATATTTAACGCAATATACAAATTCTGTAGTGTCAAACTTTTGTTTATATATTTACTCGTCCTTGGTATGACGATAAACTACATCCAGCAGCATAACTTCTGACCGAGAAATTAGAGGTTTTGTGAAGTGTGGAACTAGCTATTAATTGCCGTTGTTACCAGGTGCACACTTACCAAGGGTCGTAAGAACTGATAGAGTCCCGGCTATGGGTAAACAGTGAACCCCTGAACACTATGAGAATATAAGAATACATTTTTTAGTCATACCAGCAATACATTTTTATATATTAAAAATTACTAACAATGTATATTTATACTAGAATTACCAAAAATACATTTTTAAGATAGAATTACTAGCAATACATTTTATAGTAAAATGACCAACGATACATTTTATAGCAAAATGACCAACGATACATTTTATAGTAAAATGACCAACGATACATTTTATAGTAAAATGACCAACAATACATTTTATAGTAAAATGACCAACGATACATTTTATAGTAAAATGACCAACGATACATTTTATAGTAAAATGACCAACAATACATTTTATAGTAAAATGACCAACGATATATTTTATAGTAAAATGACCATCAAACATTTTATAGTAAAATGATAATTTTATTTACAGTAAAATGACCAACGATACATTTTATAGTAAAATGACCAACAATACATTTTATCTGTAGTTGGAGCCATCAAACTATGTTGAAAATATATAGATTTCAGCATTAAATAATCCATAGAGATTGATATGCCTCTAAACAAAATCAAACAAAAAGAAACAAATATATATTTACACTATTTACATTGTTCGGACTGTTATCCTCACCATTATTGTCATATTCACGACGTTTCGGCGGTTCTACGCTCCTGTCTTCTTCAGGATTTGTCGATATTTTTGATATGAGGTATTTTAACTATTTATACTATTTACATTCTTCGGTTTATTCTCCTCAGTTTTACTGTCACATTCACAACGCCACGCTCTTCAAACTGCCAAAAATGTTACATTTACCTAAGATATGTAGATGATATTCTCATTTTAGTCCAAAACATAGACGAAATACATATAACTACAAAAAAAACTTAAGAATAATTCCGTACTTAAGTTTACATATGTACTTAACAACAACAATATAATCCCATTTCTTGATGTATTGATGTATAGATTGATAATCATATAAAACCAACTAGCATAAACAAAATCAAACTATAAAAGTGAAAAAAAATGAAACCTAGAAATATAAATTTACAAAAATGATTTTTCTACGCGGAATTAAAAATATTAAACAAACCCTCATTAATAAAGACTTTCCTAATTACATCGTTGATGAACAAATTATACGGGCTATTAAGAATATTAACATGAATAAAAAGTTACGTCCTCAAATAATACTAAACATCAACTTACTATTTTGTAATCAAATGCATTCTAACTATAGACCCTGTCTTAAACACTAATATATTCAGGATCCAGTAGAAAAAAATAAATTTAATTATATACTATACTAAATTTTTTACAACCAACTTAGTCATGTTTTTACAAAATACCCACATCGTATATCTATTTAACTGGGAGATTTATACTATTTTACACCGACCATGACTTCACAGGTTTATTCTCATTCACAGTTTAGACGGATATTAGTCGAAAATACAACAGTACGCCACCAAGATTTAAGCAAAACCTTAAAATTCTGGAAGCTCTTTATATAAGAGAATTCACCAAAATAACGAAGTTTTAGCAACAAATTGTTTATAGCGCTTAAATGTTTTAGCAGCAAAAGTTTATACTGAAGTATATAAAATATAAATATAAAAAAAAATACTCAAAAAAAAAAATCACATGTTAGCTCGCTTGCATAACGGGTAAATATTTTGAATTTTACGGTGATCATGCACAAAAATGCACTCTAAATAA